CTTGTTGCACCTGGCAAGATTTCATTTTTTTGAGTGGCTGAGTGATATTCCATATATATCACATCTTCTTTATGTACTTTCTTGTTATTGGACACTTAAGTTGTTTCCATAACTTGTGAATAGTGCTGCGATGAAGATCGGGGTACATTTCTCTTTGAATGAGTATCACCTTTCCTTTTGCTTAAAAAAGCAGAAACATGTATATTCTCATATATACCTCACCCCTTTCTTACATGAAAAGGTAGAGTTATCATTGAATAGCATCTTCTCCAAAGATACGTTGAAATCCTAACTCCTCTTAACTTCAATATGTGACCTTACTTAAAGACTCATTGTAGATGTAGCTAGTCAAGATAAGGTCATACTGGAATTTGGTAAGCCCCTAATCTAGTATGACTGGTGTCCTTCTAGGGACAGGGAAATTTGGAGACAGAGGAGGAAGTGAGAAACCACAGTGGCAGATTGGAATGTGGCAGCTGGCATCTAAGGAGTATCAAAGATAGCTAGTGGGAGCTGGAAGTGGCAGGGAAAGATTCAACTATAAAGTTAGCTATGTTGCCTTAAGAGTAAAGACTCATGAAGTTTTTTGGAGAAATTCAAAGGTTATTTATGAAAAATCTTTAATCTATTTGTAGATGAAACATATATCAATTTGACCTTATAGCAAGGAAGGATTCTCCCCTGCAGGCTTCAGAGTGAACATGGTACTTCCAAACCCTTGATTTAGCCTTCTAACCTCTAGAGCTGTGAGACAATAAATTCCCCAGGCTTCAAGACATGTAGTTAGTGGTACTTCCTAATAGACACTCTAAGGGAATAAATTTGGGTAGCACACTAAGCTCTTTGCCCTCTGTGCAAATGTTTCTGTTGTTTAGATACCCACAAGCCTACCTACTGACTCATACAAAACATGTATTTTTCATCTTAACAGCTGCACCAAATTGCCATCCAGAGGGTGGTGTCAGTTTACACTCCTACCCACAGTGCACTGGGCATGTTTCCTTCTGTCCCGTCAAACACACTGATATTAACAGACATGCAATCTCCCCAACACCCACTTGATGAGTAAAATGCAGCATTTTTTAAAAATTGCATTCCCTGTTTTACTAATGAGATTGAATTTTTAAAAAAATCTTGTTAATTTTTTTATTTGAGTATCTTCTTCTAAAAATGGTCTTTTTATATAACCTTTCTCCATCTTTCTGTTGCATGATTTATTTTATTCCTACTAGTTTTAAATGTTTCTTTGCATGAGCGACACTTACTCATTTTAAGCCATTCCTTAGGAATGGTGTTTAAATATCAAGAATGTTTGCTGGGCTTCGTTGGTTGTCTTTTCAGCTTCTAGTGAGAGGATCAAATGATATTTATTTGACCTATTGATATGAGGCACCTGTAATTGTAGGAACTTTAAAAGGCAGAGCAGTTAAATATTTTATGGGCTAGAGGAATGATGCCAAAATGGAGTTTTTCAAAACATGTTTAGAGGGTTGCCAGGTTAGAAGAGAGGGTGTGTCTCAGGGAGTGCAGCAGTCCACTTAGAAAATAAGCTGAAGCCTCTGTGGGGAATTGTGTGTGTGTGTATGTGTGTGTGTGTGTGTGTGTGTGTGTGTGTGAGAGAGAGAGAGAGAGAGAGAGATGGTTTGGGCTACACTGAGGAAACTACTGCAGAAGTGAATACAGGATAACTATAGACTTCAAGAAGATTAACAGGGTGGTGCAGTACAACACAAAATAATAAAAGAAATGAGAAAACTTAGATACCCATAGGGGAAATGAAAATAGTTTTTTTCTATAATGCCCCTAATTAGGAAGGAAGGAAAGAAGCTAGATAAACCAAGATGACCCACTGATGAGCAGGATTTTGAAAGACGGTTTCATAAGGAAGCAGAGCGCCTACTCAGGCATAAAGATTCAGGCATCTATGGCAGGTGATAGATGTGGGGACTGTGTAAAGAGGGCTGAAGCAGAGGCAAACTCGGATTACAAATAATGTCCAAGCTGTATGCTAAGTTCATTAGGGAAACAAGGTGAGAAGGAATCAAGAATTTAGAGGGGGACTTTTCTCTGGGCAAATGGTGTCATATTGACAGATGGCAAAGAGAAAGCACACCTCATCAACTTTCATTTTGCTTCCAATTGACAATGTCAAGTAGAGTTATTTTCCAACTGAAGGTAGATCAGATATGATAACTGAAGACAGTTCAGAATGGGTGAAGAAATTATAGAAAAGTGTCTGTCTGCTCTGGATCAGCTATACCCCAGGAAACAGGGATAACTTTTAATGTATCTCTGCACCTCTGTTGACTTGAGGGGAAGCATGGAGAATGTGATCATTGCTTAAAAGAAAAGGGAGGAAAAGTGTGCTCATTCATGTGTGTGCAGGTGGAATTCCTATTTTCAAAAACACGTTTCACAAAAATGGCAAGTTGGTGATCTAATGTTTTGGAGAAGGGCCCCAGGAGAGCATGCAGAAGAGATGGCTTGTGGGCTCCTGGAAGCGGAAATAAGGACAGTTAGGGTTCTCCACAGGACAGGTGAAAATGCAACATGTTTTCTTCTTCATGGGTTGACATGGCCACTGATCAAAAAGCACTAACAGCCCTGAGGGATCCGAAAATCAGGAGCAACAAGGACAAGGAGGCAGTGAACCAGGGATCTTAGTCTGGAAGGAAGAATTCTTAAGGAGAGCTTGATGGCTGATGTCAAGCGCGAGAAGGACTTTTATGTAGAAGAGGAAGCGGGCACTTGTGGACATTCACGGTCCAAATGGGTCCGTTACAGAGAACCAGGATGAGACTCAGTGTCTGGGGAAGACCTGTCTAAGCAATTACACCTTCTGAGAGTGATTTCCTATCACTGCAAAAGTGAAAGCAGAAGTTAGTCAATTACTTTAGTCATTTGGGGAAGTGCTCTAGGGGAGATAAGGGCACTATTGTATGGCTGATTATAAAGTCCCTTCTGATTTTGAGATTCTGTGATCCCGGGACAATGTAGGTGTGAAATAGAAGGAATAGATTCCAGATAATGATGTTGTACCTAAGAGCTGGAAGGAATCGGAAGAAACCAAAGGGAAGAAATGTAGTTGACTCAATTGAGAAAAGAGAGTCATGTCATTATATTGCGTGGTCAAAGAATTCACTGTCTTTTTCGTTCCCAAAGCCAAGATTATCCCCAAATGGTGTAGGCTATCCAAGAAAATTGCACTTCACAGCAGACCTCAACTGAACGTGTTTCTCAGGTGTCTGAGGTTGCATGGAGGGCAAAAACTTCAAAATAGAATTTTCGTGATGCTCAGCACAGACAAGGACAGTGGGCTCCTCCCTCAGCAGGACCAGGCTCAGGCCTGGTGCCAAAGCAGGTGGGAGGAGGGGCGAGGCAACTCTTTGTCGGCAGACAGAAGGCAAGAACAAGAATGTGTGGGAGTGGGAGGTAAGACAAGGAGAAAATGAACAGGTATCCGGAACAGATGAGGGGCTGGGCTTGCAGAGGTATAGGGGGCACCTCTCTCAGCTACCCCCCAACTTCCTGAGTGACCTTGTAGACCTTGTAGATTTTATTTCACCTCTGCCTGCTTCGTGTTGTCAAAGCAGACATCCTGTTAGCTTAAAGTGCTCTGGGCTTTAAAGTGCTTTAGAAGAAACCAATTCCAGAAATGTAAGACATTTTATGTGTGTAAAGTGTTTGCACCTGTTCCCAAATTTTCACCGCTGGGGGAGGAAGAACTAGTAAGAGGAAGGCAGAAAGAAAGCTGAGAAGACAACGTGCCCGGAGTCACTTGGCTCCCCTCGTAGTCCTGGGGGCTGTGATGTGGGAAGTGGCACCTGCTTAACAGACCCTCAACCAGCCAGGGACAGGAACCCAGCAGGCATCCTCGGGCTCCGAGGTCCCTTCAGCAAATCCTATTGCAGCACCCAGGCACAGAAAACGAGGCACGCCCCTCCCCCACTAGATGGCACTGAAACGCCTGGTTCGCGATTTTCAAAATGCAGAAAGGAGGAAAAAAAAAAAAGACAAAAAGAATATGGTGGAGGTGCGCTCCTCCTGGGAGCACAGGCCGGCTTGAGCGAAGCGGGGTGCCAGACACAGTCTTCTCCCCAGGGCAGACCCTTCCGCGGCCGTGCGGCCCTCGACTTTGGAGTGAGGGTGACAGCGAGGGGCGAGCAGTAGAGAGAACGCCCGCCCTGGGTTTCAACCCGGGAGGGAGCGCCCAGCTTTGCGGCGCTGTCTAATGTGAGCAGCGGGAGGGCTGGGAGGAAGCTGGGCTCGGGTCCACCCGTTCAATGTCTGGGGTCCCGCACTGCCTCCAAGGACCCCCCCCCCCAGAGCCTGCTACCAAGAGAAGGCCACGTCCCGCACCCAGGTTTCAAGGAACGATATTCTCCTCTCCTCAGAGCGTGCTCCTGAGCCTCCTCAAAATATCTATTGAATACCACCCATCTCCCCCATCTTATCCTGAAAGTACACGTAAAAAAAAAATAATTTTTTTTTTAAACTGAGGAACGAAGCAGAGACAGGTGGAGGGTCGTGAATTAGGGTTCTCTGGACCAGGGTTGGGGCTGGATTGGGCTAGTGGTCATCACCTCGCAGGATCCTCAGCCCCGGGGTGGAAACGCCAGTAGCTAGCAAGGTAAGCACCTTGGCACTCTGACCCAAACCAGGGGAGCATGGAACTCACTCAGCCCCTTTGAAGGCCGATTCCTCAATAAGCAGTCTTTAAAGAACTGTGGTCGATTTGAGGGAATTTTCCACTATTGAAAAGAGAGGCCGGAGACAGAAGCAACCTCTGTAAATTCATAATAATGCACGTAAACATGCTACATGCCACACATATGTATATGTGCATAAATATGGATGTGGCCGGGCACATGCCTATCTAGACACCATTGACTTGCCTGGTCAAAGAATACGGCTTAGACATTTCATGCCTGTGAAATGGTGCAGTTTATCTTTAAGGAGGCCAGAAAAATAAGAGATGAGGCTCACGTTGCACGGATGACATCACTAGCTTTTGGCTGCGCGCTCTGGGTTCTCGCCTGTGGGTTTTAGCCAAGGCTGCAGCGCCCGGCGCCCGAGCAGTGAGCGCGGCAGCGGCTTCTTCCGGCGCCCGCACCCGGGCGATGCGATTTCCCGAGCCCCCGGGGCGCAGCCAGGGCGCACGCTCCCCACCACCCGCCGCGCCCGCGGGGCCTGGGAGCTGCCGCACCTAGGGTGGAGGCTGGGAAGGGGAACTGAACGGCTCGGCCTCCCTCCCCCACCCTCACCCCATTCACCTCGGCTACCGCCGTGAGCCGGGAAACTGCTCGTGGGACTCCGCGACCGGGATCTCTGCACGCTGCCGAGGGAGGCGGCATCGCCGCTCCTCGGTGGGCTGCGAAGAAAATGGTGCAATCTGAGAGCGGCTGACCCCAGCTGGGCAGAGAGGCTGACCCCAGTTGGTGCTAGAGTGCCGGGCTCAGGTGGCGGGTGAAGGGGGGCGGACTGTTTTGAGCAGCCGGGCCGGGGCCGGGGCGGGTGTTTGCTTCGGTTCCTGCAACGTTTCTTTGCACCTGGGCAGCACGTTTCCGGAGCTACCCGGGAAGCAGAAGTGAGGCGGCGGCGTCGCGGAGCGGCGCATCTGGAGGAGAGGCCTGGTGGACACTCCCGAAGCAAGAAGACGGCGCTGGGGAGAGCGGCCTGACGCCCGGGCGGCTGGAAGCTGGGCGGGCGCTGAGCTGCTGCCGCGCGACCTGTCCATGGTGTTGAAGGCTCTGTGCGCTGTGTCCCGCGCGCCCAGCCGCGCGCCCAGCCGGGTGCGCCTTCCTCGGCGCAGGCCGCCCTTTGCACCTTCCAGGGGCCGCCTGGTCGTCGCAAACCTTGGGCCAAGACTTGTCCCGTAACGCTGTTCGGGTGACTGCGCCGCTGGCCCGAGGGGCCGCTTGAATGGCGAGGCCGGAGGCAGACGACCCAGGAGCTCTCAGGGAAAGGTCGGCGGCGACCCGGCGCCTGCGGCCCCTTCTCTGAGCGCAGCTCGGTTCTCGGCCAGGCGGAGTAAAGGACCTGCTCGTGACCAGAGAACGTAGGTTTTAGAAAGACCCGACTCAGAGAGGAAGAGCATTTCTCCTCTTGCAGGCCGGAAGGGGGAGAGTCGCTGAGAAGGAGATCCAGGCGGGACTCAGGGCAACCGGCCCAGACATCTCGAGGTTTCCTCGGTGGACCGGCCGCATCGCGGGTGTTTCACCCCCCGTGGTCTAACAGCGCCTGCAGAGAGCCGCCACCCTCTCCCCCCACCCCCCGACGAAAGCCAGGCGATCGGTCCTGTCTCCCTGCACAAAGAAAGCCCGGTAGCCCCTCCACCGCCGAGGGTACTGGTATTTAGTTTCCGGCTGGAGGGGCAGCGGTGCCCGAAACCCGGCAGCGCGCGAGGCGGCGGGTTCGGAGCGGTAGCTTCCTGCGGGGCGGGAAGGGGCGGGAGGCGACCTTGCCCAGCTAGCCGCCGCGGGAGGCTGCCCCTACCCCTGACGATGCCCAGGAGTCCGCCGAAGCATCTGGGAATCAGAACTTTTTAGGCCCTCGCGCGCATCCCCGCAGTCCCCGGGCCGCGCAGCGGCAGGCAGGCGGGGACCGAGGGGGCGCCGCCGCACGAGCCCCCCTCCAGGCTACCCCCCCTCCCGGCTCGGCTGCCCGCCGCTTTGTTCCGGGCGCGCGGAGGGAAGGCGAGGCTGCGGCGGATCATGCCCATGGTGTAGCCGCGAAGCGGAGGCATGGCTGCCGGAAGGTTACTGCTCTACACGGGCCTCTCGCTAGCGCTCTGCGCCCTCGGCATGCTGGCCGTGGCCATCTGCTCGGACCACTGGTACGAGACGGACGCCAGGAAGCACAGAGACAGGTGCAAGGCCTTCAACACCCGCCGGGTCGACCCTGGCTTCATTTACAACAACAACAACAACTTGCCGCTTCGGGCTAGCCGCTCGCGTCTGGATCGCTGGGAGGGTAAACTCCTCCGGGCCCGGAATCGCCGGCAGCTCTTCGCCATGAGCCCGGCTGATGAGTGCAGCCGGCAGTACAACTCCACCAACATGGGTCTCTGGAGGAAATGCCACCGGCAGGGCTTCGACCAAGAGATCGCCGCCCTCATTCGGAAAGGTAAGCGCGAGCGCGAGGCGTGGCGCTGCGGAGAGGCCGGCGCCTCCAGGCCCGGCTCCGCTCCACTCCCTCCCCCCGGCCACAGTTCGTCTGGGTCTCCTGGCTTCTGGCGTCTGGTTCTCCAGCCCCGCCAGTCCTTTTGCAGTGACCAGAACTTGCCTCGCCACAGCTGGTGGTGGACCATGGTGGAGGCTTATTTACCCGGCCCCTTGCGTCTCTGTTGGGATTCCCGTGGAATCTCACGGTCCAAGGTTTTAAGCCAGGACCCTCCCTTAATTCGTCTCAGAAAAGGCAGGGGATTCATAATACTGTGCAGAGAAAGCCCGTTAGGAATGATGTAGGGGGTAGGCAGGCTTCTAATTGTAGTCTTTATTTTATACGTTCAACTGCTTCACCAAGGAACGTTGGAAATGCCTTCCAGAAAAGGCCTTATTCATGCTAGCAACGTTTGTGATAGTGCTGAGTATACCCGGCATGGTGCAGACATTGGTCATATAAACATCAATAAATCACAGCCCGTGTCCTAGAGCAGCTGCTCAAAGCCTGCTAACCAGCAGCACCCTATTTTGAAGGATACCACAATTCTCTTTTTTCTCCTTTTGAGAAAGTGCTTGAGGAAAGTGATGGGGGCATTGAATATCAGCAGGGTCTGTCTGACCAGCAGGAAAAGAGCAGCTCCTGAGGTAATACCAAAGTGGACACATCAGAGAAAAAGATACCATTTTCAGAAAATTTATATAAAAATACTTAAGTCTATCGAAAATAGAAACAAACCAATTTGCTAATGATAAATATGTATTTGCTACTTTAGTATGGTCACACCAATTTTACAAAGTCTGCTCATCTGATGCAATTTGTAAATCTTGTGTGACTGATACTTTGGGGACCATCGTGTTCTTTAGCCCACTGAGATTGTGTTTGGATGTATATGAATATTGCTCTGAAGAAGCATTTGTTCCACTGTAAGGTGCATCTTGGAAGATGTGGTGCAAATTTATGAGTTTTTTTTTCACCCTCATGTATCATTCCCTTCGCTAAATAAATGGTGATCCCAAGGTAGAAGTGGTATCTGCAAAGTACTGTGATGTTTCTTAATGTTAGAATGCAGGTGTGCAGCTGTTTCAAAAACTAGTTTTTGTGAAAATTATGTATTTTGTTTTATAAAACTGTTGACATTGATTAGACAAAATGTTAATGTGGGAAAAGAATCATTTGTTTAAGATTGAGAAGCAGTGATATGGTCTAGGTGGTGAGTTTAGATGTAGGTGAGCTGGTCCAGGAAGAGAATCCATCTTAATGTTTGTTTCGTAGCTTCTATAGAATGATTAGGGATTGCAGCTGATTAATGTGAGAGTGTTGATGCTGTAAACACCCCATCTGCTTTACGGGTAGGCTCCTGGCAGAGCCGGGTGACCCATTTGGAGCTCCACAACTTTGTAAAGCTGTGCAGGAGATGGGAGGATTCTAGAAGAGAGCAATCTGGGTTTGGGTTGAGGAGAAGGAAAACAAGAGGAAGCAGAATAGTTTTGACCATGGTGACTTTATAACAATTTTCTCATCTTCAGATTCACAGTGTCTTTTTATCCATCATTTTCTGCTTTACCTAAAACTGGAATGCTAGGAGGTTAGCTAAATGTGGGGAAGAAACATTGGTAAGGTATCACTGGTAACACCGGTAAGACTTGCTGAAGGACATTCTTGAATCTTTTTCTCTATAGTGTCTCTTAGAACATGACAGTAGCCTTCTGTCTGGTAGTGGGTGACCCCACTTAGAAAAGGGACCATGGAATTGATGGCTTCTGGTGTTTAATTGAGGGCTTTGATTCTATGTTGTCCTGCTTGGAAATCTGACTAGAAAGGTTGACTTGGTCTGTACACCAGAGGGATTGGTTACCATAGTGACATGTTCTTCCGGTGAAGCTGGAAACACAGTGACAGGGAAAGGGATAGGGGAAGAATGCACAACATTTTGACTTCGTATCGACTGATTTTTAATTGCAGCAACAGAAAATGGACACGGCACAACAGGGGGATTGAATACACTGATACCTAGAGTTGGCAGGGAGTTGCATTTCACTTGAACTAATGGAAATGCTGTTCTCGTCACCCAGAATACAGTGATCACTGTCAGCTGCAAGCACCCGCTTACCATGGCCGTTTCTGTCCATTTGACATTCTTGTTAGTTATTATTGAGATAGATGGCACGCCAGCCTTACAAATCTGGAGAGACTTAAGGTCACTGTCTTCATCTTTAACCTCAAAGCACAATCTTTGAAAGCCTGGTCTTCTTTTTGTAAGCAGCAATAGACACATTTTGGTAATTAGTGCATCTTATGTTAGTTAATTCAAAACCAATCCATTAACACATAGAATATAATCTCTGGACCTAATCCATGCTCTCTGTAGATGGGCAGATTTTATAAGAAAGGTAAAAAAGAAATTGATATCCCTGTATTTAAATTTAGGGCATCTTGGAGACAGTTATTTATCTCACAGTATTCATTAGTAACCTTGAAAGATATCTTAGACCCTTGTGTGTGAGTTTTTTGGGAAACATCTTCATAAATTAGGTGTTGGGCAAAGGAGAAGGGAAGCCAGAGAAAGGATTGTTTAAAACCCATCAATATTATGGGAAAATAGAGACTTACCTAAATGATCATACAGCTCCAGGGAACTCAATCATTTGTTACATCAATATTCATTACATTAGAAAGTGCAGCCTGTGCATTTTAAAATATGACAAAGCCACATAACTAATGGGAAAACAAAGTCAAATCTCTGTCTGATTTGAAGATAAAATCCTATGGATTCATGTCCTGCTGTCACGAGTGTCCCTAGAAATATACATTTTTGGTCACTGTGTGTTCATTTGTTTGTCTTACTGAATTAGAAGTTTCTAGAGGGCAGAGAAGATAGGCCTTTATAAAGTACATCCACCAGGTGCATAGTGCTCATACAAACTAGGGTCACGGAAACGTATTCATCAAGAGCTTATTCTAATTGTTGGAACGTTTATGTGGGACTCCAAATAAAGGATTAATAAGAAAATTGTGGTGAAAACCAAATCACTGTCATTCTCAGGGTAGGCTAATCTTGTAACAGATGCTACATAACAAGGGAGATTTCTTTAGCAAAAGCTTGGCTAAGGAATAAGGGAAATACCATTCTTTTTAAACATATGGCATTGAATAGACACACAATCACTGTTGACATTAGCTACAAATATAAATTATTTCTTTCTTGGATGTAGGTTTGGGTGAGGGTGTAGCGAGAATTCCATATGACTGTGTCCATGATCGGGTCCTGGTATCTTCTTCCTTTTAAACTTCATTCATGTAGCCCTAGTAAGTGAGTCCTGCAAGTACTGGGGACAGATGAATGGCAGGATCGATCAGTTTCTATAATCCAAGAAACTTCCAGACCCTAAGGAAGAACACCTACAGGTAGGATTGTATTCCAGGGAACTCTGAGGCAACATGTTTGTATATTCCTTGATTTGAACTGAAATATTATAGTGATAAAATAAATAGATCTTGCATTGAGATTCTGAGGAATTTTTTATTATGTGAAAATATGCTTTATAACAGAATTTAACCTGTATAGTTCCCATAAACATGAATGGTTGTCAGTATTCTGAAGCTCATTTTAGTAAAAACATTGCATATATTCAAGTGAATCATGTACTCAGCCACCATTTACTGCACATGTATTATGTGATGGGCACTAATCCCTGGGACGAGGGATGAGCAATACCCGGCACTTAACATACCTTCCGTTTGTTATCCTCAGAGAGTAAATAACTACAGGGTGGCGAGAGGGGCAGAAACAGATTTAGAGAAACAGAGAGGAGGCAAAGATCGACAGGGTTGGCAAAGGTAAGGTGGGGAGGGACTTAGTAAGTGTTGTGCAGAAGAAATGAAATTGGAACAAGATTTTTGATGAAGTTTGGAAGTGGAAGGACATGTTAGGCAAAGAGCTGACATGCACACAGTCATGGAGATGTGAAACAGTGGTTTGGTCTGAGTGTTGACTTCCAAGGTGAGGCAGAGGAGCAGACCAGGAATGGAAGAGCAGCCGGGGATTGTGCTCTTAACTCCCGGTAGCTATGGTGCCCAGTGAAATGACTACTGGTCACCCATGGCTGTTTATATTTAAAATAACCAGTGTTACATCGAGTAAACATTTCACTTCCTCTGTCTCCTTGGCCACATTACAATGGCTCAATAGCCACACATGACCATTGGCTATCTTATTGGATAGTGAGATGATAGAACATTACCATCACCATGTACAAGTTCTGTTGGACAGAGCTGTGTGGAGTCTGTTGCCTCTGAAAAAAATAAGCTTATGGTTTGTTTCAGACGAGGGTAACTCAATAACTTGGATTCAGGGTTGAGTATATCATTCTACACATTAAGAAACCTTACTACTTGAGTGTTTTAGGCAGAAGGTCTTAGTTCATGGTTGATTATACTGAATTTATATTAAGATTTCTATCTTTGATTCACAAAATAATCACATCCTTCTCTTTTCTCTGTTCCTTTCTCCAATTCCATAAAAAGTAACTGGTGAAGTTGACAGGCTAGGAAAAGTTAAGAATAATATTTACCAAACTTGGTGTCAGACATTCCTGTATGTGTTAGAGTTTATACATATTAGCTAATTTATCCATGGTGCTCTGAGGTGGGTGGTATTATTATTATTATTTTAAGATTTATTTATTTTATTCATACAGAACTGGGGTACAGGCCAGAGATGTGGAGGGTGAGAGAATTCACCAGGACAGAGTGGGGAGCAAAACAGGCAGATCAATGAAGTACACTGCTGAGGGGAGCAGCGGGAGGGTCAGGAGAGGTCTGCCGCACCATGTGGTCACCTCTGGGGCAGGCGGGGATCGAACTCATGCGGAAGTGGCTTGAGCTTCTTAGTGTAGTGCTTTAACCCGCTGCGCCACCAGGGAGGGCCTATTATTATTATTTTTAACCCCTAGATTGATACA